ACGGTATTGCTCCATTTGCGAAGTATAATATGAAGCGAAGGGATTGATATGAAGCGGCTGCGGTGCTGCATGGATATATGAGTACACACATGCAGCCGTATCTACCGTAGCGGTTATTGGCACGATGCCAACGGGAAACTCGTCCGAAAGCTCTCTGAGTCGTGTAGAACAAGGACTTTTTTGAAGGTTTTTGACCGTTTCACTTTGCTTTTTCGCCATTTTCCTCCACTATGTAGCACCCTGGTACTATTTTATACCCTACCAAATTATGGTGCAGTATGCCCTTGAAAGTTCTTGAGTGAAGTCTTCGAACAATATTGCGAAACTTTCAGGAAAACTTTCGATCATCAATCAAGAATAGTAACCAAGAGAGCACTTACTACTCAACACTGCAATATCCCTTTTCATTGACTGAACTATGAGCTGCCTCTTGGCAAATGATTCTGCATCACGTCCTCGAGCTGCTCGGTACGCTGCCAGCTGGAATGAAAGAGGCAAAGCTGCAAACTTTAAAAAAAGTTGTTCAGTTCATCAATGGTAACATCTTCGAGCAAAAGACTTTGGTGACATCCAACTTAAAGACGCGGAGTACGACAAGCGAAACCTAGAACTCTGGTCACTGGCTAAAAATCTCGTCACTGGCCAAGCCGTTAATCAGTACTTTCTTGGGGTATGGCACTCATCCTACTTCACTCAGAATCTGATACCAGTTCCTATGCGAGTGAGGCGGAAAGTGTAGGAGTCTTGTAGTAGTGGCTTGTTGAATGTGATGTGGCCTATACAATGACTTGCGGTGGCCAGCCGATGTACAAGTCAGTGTTTTATCCTCCCAGACAAATCTGGTACCAATTCACCGTCCTCGGAGGGTAGAAGGCTTGAATGGCTTAAGCGGAAGCCGATCCCGGATTCGATCCCCGGACCGTGCGACTGGTAAGCGCGTCACTTGCCAGCACACTTCCTCCTGCCTACCAGACAGGGCACGTCCTACATTGGGAATCAAAGGCGGTGGGCCGACTTTGGTAGCTAGGACAAAAGGCAGGTCGTATCGAGTCTGAGAAAAGTTTTTAATCAGTTGATTCTTCCTTTTTAGGCGCTATTCACATCGTTGGAAAAATTCCAATGGAGGGGGGAGGGGTACCGTATTCGCCTTCAAGAGAAATTTGATGCAATGCAGAATAATTTCCCCCGGTCATTGATTTGTTCACTTTTCGCGGTTTTATCCGTTTTTTTGGTGGTGCTAGATATTCTCCAGTCGGAACGGCCGTTCTTGGAGAAAATGTGAAAATTTTTCAAGCGAACTTGCAAAATGTGGAAATGGAAAAGTTTGGAGAAAGGGGTCGCTTCTTCCAAAAATTTCCCCAGCGGCAGGACATGCCGTGCTATCAGAAGTCCCAATAAATAAGACTCGGCCCCCTTATTCGCCATTACTGATCGTGAGCTCTCCCTTGAAATAGTATACCATTAAGCGCCGCACAACTTTCAAAACTTTTGATGACATGCAAATATTAGGTTGTTCGAAAAGTCCTGCGACACTTTGACCAAATTTTTCGAACTAAATTTCCGGTCAGTAAAGGACATCTCCAATCTACAAGGTAACCGCAGTTGATGACTAGGACTAGTGCCTTTCTTTTGCACAGCTTCTCATTTCCATTCTCATAGAACTACGGCAACTATGATAAAAAGAAGAGGTGGACTTCACTCGAGTTGAGGTCGATTTTCGGAATTTTTGCTTTCTAAAGGATGCGATAGGGACCAAAGGAGGTGATAATTAGAGGCTGCTAACTTTGTTAAATAACCTGGGTACGGTAGCATTCTCCGATCGAAATCCATGATCTTTTGGCGTAGCCTGATCCCACATGCGGTCCTCGCATTACCGAGTAGTAGAGAAAAATTGAGTATTTCTGAATGAATTCAAGCGTGACGTCATCCATATTTTGAAGTCGATTAAGGTGGACTGTGGTCCTTACAACGGTGCTGGTATCCAGTGATACCGCTTTGAAGTCCCACCAATAAACACACTGAAATCTTTATCCCATGCACATCTGCTTTTGGCTAAGCAATCTACTTTACTGTTCGAGAGATCTTGCGAGGGACATGTGCATGATGTACGCAAGGACTCCACCACTCGCTACCAACCACAAGATCTCCCAAAAGTTCTTTCGCTGTGTACAAGGAAAAGAAAACTCAGTCGCGGTCATTCGGTATGACTTGTCAGACGGGTCCAACTCATGAGGCATCCTTCACAAAAAATTTTTCCGATAACCGAGATTGCGGAGAAGCATGGCAGTTGTCAGTCAGGTGGAGCCTAGAGAGGTCGCCAACTTACCGGTGGTTACGTTCGGCTGCGCCTCAAGAAGCTTGAGTAAAGGGCCGTCATTCTGTGCTGGTGGGCGACCTATACATTGCCTAACTACGAGTTAAATAAGTCCAGCCTAGAGGCGCTGATGCAAAAGCTACCCTCTGCCATGGCAAGCGATATCCTTCCTCAAGACAACGTAGGTGTCAGCTTCCTCGACTACGGCGGAGTGGCCCTACAGGAACTCATAATATGGGACAGGTCGAGAAGTACCTCGATCTCTGGGGACTTTTAAGCTTTGAAAACTTCCTCAAAGTCATGATATACCCATGTGCAGAAACCCCAGAGGACACTCTCCACTAATCAGGGATAAAAACATCCAAAATGATTTTTGGTCTTTTTCTAGAACAATTAATCAAAGTGTCGCAGGACTTTTCGAACAACCTAATAGATAAACCGTGCTCGTGAAAGTAAACAGTTATCAACAAAAATCTTGAAGAATAAAAAAAAAGCTTATGACCCTTAATATCCACATGGTTACCTTCTCTTTCATTATATTCAGATGTTCCTTACGTAGAGACTTCCTGTCATTTAGTCTGTCATTGATAAGTCCAATAAGCTCCACACGACGCTTCGGCCTGGAAGTTTTGGGGTTAACACAGTAGT